ATTGCTTTTTGAGCTCCCTGCCCTGTTCATCAGTGAGTCGGTCTCCTGAAAATGTAAATTAGATGAAAATTAACATGCCTGTAAGCTTATAAATCAAGGAGCCCATGAGCATTTTTACTCATCTGAAATTCATAAATCAGCTCACTTGAGATTCATTAATAAATGGTTTGCATTCATGTGCATTATCATGAGCTCCCAGGTAGGAAAGCTCATAAGACATTTATTAGCTTAACTGAGCAAAAGGCTCAAGTGAGCTTTTCTGATCAAAATTTGTTCATTGTCGACATTGTCATTGTACACAAACCTCCTCGCGACATATAAAAAAATCAGGGAGCGAATGGAAGATCTAATTTTAATTAGATTGGGTTTTGCTGTTCTTGAGAAGATGTTCAAAGATTTTTACTATGTAATCCTATGTAAAAGTTTGATTGCCTACTGTGGCCCTTCCCTACCCCTGGGGGTCATGATTTGAACAAACTTGAATCTACACTACCTGAGGATGTTTCCATATAAATATGACCAAGCATGGCTTTGCTGTTCTTGAGAAGAAGAATTTAAAATGTTTTTCCTATATTTCCTATGTAAAAGTTTGTTCGCCCGTTGTGACCTCACCCTAGCCCCGGGGGTCATGGTTTGAAGAAACTTAAATCTACACTATGTCAGGAAGCTTCCACATAAGTTTTATCTTTTCTGGCCCAGTGGTTCTGAAGAAGAAGATTTTTAAATGACCCCACCAAATTTTTACTTTTTTTTAATTATCTCCCCTGGAAGAAGGTGTGGCCCTTCATTTGAGTAAACTTGAATTCCTTTTACTCAAGGATACTATGTGCCTCTACCCAAGGATACTAAGTTTGTTTGAAATTGGCCCAGTGGTTCTGCAGAAGGAGATGAAATTGTAAAAAGTTTACGACAACAACAACGACCGCCAATGACAACAGACAGACAACGGACAAATTTTGATCAGAAAAGCTCACTTGAGCCTTCGGCTCAAAAGAGGAAATAATGTGGAACCACTCTGCAACCTGTTTAAAAGTGGAATATTCCAATTACTGGATAAAGAGTGTAGGTTCCATATATGGAAGTGAAACATGGAAAATGATCAAAGGAGACAACATATTGAGAGTAACTTAAGTAAGACAATTACAGAACAAATGCTTGAAAACGATAACAAAGATAGAATGGGAAGATCGAGTAAGAAGCGATTCACAGAGAACAAGGAAAAGACCGATCAACGAGGAAGTATAAACAGGAGAAGATGGAAGTTTATTGGATATACACTGAGAAAGGAACCAACCAGTGACTGTAACCTCGTGTTGATAGAAGGAAGAAGAAAGCGTGGGCGACCAAAAAACAACACGGCGCCGCACAGTAGAAAGGGAAAAGGCAGGTGCTGGATGGCAGCCTTGGAATGCAGCAAGAAGAGCAGTTAGAAGCCAGTAGAAATGAGTGGAGACGCCATGCCCTATGTGCCACCAGGCACAAGGAGGATAGGTATCAGATATTGTTTCATCTAGAATGTTTAATAAACAAATTAAATGGGACCCTGTATGAATAGAAAGCTGAAACACTTTTTTGCAGTAAAATTCTTTTGCACATGCAGACAAGCCTAAAATCAACAACCTACAGATTTATCACATAGGGCGTACATGCATGCATTCCAAAAGGCAGAGTGGGACTTCAAAAATATGGCAATTGAAGAACGTAATCAGACGAACAGTTAACCCTTATGGATATGTATAAAATCAAAGAAACGAGAGAACACTAGCTTAAAGATGGAGGTAAATTATTAGTGAAAGTATATCAGAAGCCGATTTTTGCTCAAACAGTTCAGCTTTGTGATTACTACAACCATTACCAAAGATGTTCCCTCAACCACAAAAGGAAGTGAAATAAGTAACATAATATAATTGCCAACAGAGATACTGAAAAGAATTGAAGATAACAAATCTCAACAGCAGTCAGACCTAACAACAAACCTAAATGAGCGCACCCGACTTTGCATTTATTTCAAAGATGGATGGATACCGGTTGCCTTCCTTCAGACTGGACCACAGCAAAAGTGTCACCTACTTCAAGAAAGGGGATTGTATCCTCCTAGAAAACTACAAACCTCCAACTTGTATTATATCCAAACTATTAGATCATATAGTGTGTCAACATATGTTACCCACTTTGAGAAGGATTACGTGCTTATCCATCAAAATCACGGCTTCCGCACGGTTGGGTTTCTCATTTGAATCACAATTCGCCATTGCAATCGACCAATTTTCTCGAAACTTGACCAAAACCTACAAATTGACAATTATTTTAGATGTCCCTAAAGTTTTGATACTGTTGTTAAGATAAACTACTTTATAAGTTGAAACACTACGGCATACGGTGTACAAGGACCCTTATTGTACTGAATCAGCTCTTTTCTCTGCTCACGTTTGACGTCCTATGTTGTGAAAGGAGATGCTTCACTTGCAGTCAAAACGGTGTGCTCCAGTCAAAGGACCATACTTTGATATTGTTTTCTTTTCACATAAATGACCTGCACCATAATACTTAACTTCAAAAGCTTGACCCTTTGCTGATGGTTGTGTGATATACTGGCCTATACGATCACCCCAAGACCAGATTACACTTTAATTTTAAACTGATTTAAACATCTATATACTTGGGCTTCTAAGAGGGACATGTAATTTAATACCAAGAAGAGCTACCTACTCAGCAGGAATCCACATCTTTCATTGTCTATAAATTCTCTAAATAAGCATATACGTCAGTTTGTGCCACATAACAATAACCTTGGTATTATTATTTCGAGTGATCTAAAATAGAGCAATCACAAAACATTGCATGTAGCAAGGCAAGCTCCACCGTAGACTCCACCTTATGTTGAATAAATCTTACATCTCGTTAGTACGCTCAACCTTAGAGTATAGTGCCATATTATTTAGGAACAATATACTAGAGCCAATATAGAGAGAGATTCCACAGCACCGAACTGCCGCTTCATTAGTCATGGCTATAAGTCTAGAAGCCTGGATCCGTTCATCAAGATGCTAGTAGACCTAGATCTCCTAATAGTACATGAGCAGGAGCTATAGCTGAAATTCCTTTTTATTTATACAATAAAATGCTTTCTTCGGTTGTTAGTACGGGAATTAATGTCGCAACTGTTGCAGAAAAAATACATAACCCGCGTACACGTAAATTTTTTCTGCAATAGCTGCGACATTAATTCCCGTACTAACAAACAAAGACATTTTATTGTTTATATTTATATATGTATAATTGATGGAACAGCCTTTGCTCAAGAAATCTATGCAGGTAGCTAGCTTAGTGTCATTTACTGACTGATTAACGGCAATGGTTTTCATAAGAAATAAAGGATAAGTGTATGAAAATATAAGACGATAAAGGGGCTAATATCAACATCCAGCAACTTAGTTTCCTACAACACAAAAGGAAAATCCGAGCTATCAAGCTTAGTAACCACATAGAGGATAAGAAAGTACCAAACTGCCAGTTGAATAACTCAGAGTGTTTCATAACAACTCACTGCAACACAAATGTTTAAAAACATTGCTTCTCCCCAAGAATAGTGGAGAAGATGGAATCAGCTGGATGATACTGTAGTACAGTGACTGTGGACAAAGTGGAATCCTGTGGTGCGCTCTCCGATCATATGTACCAGTATTGGACAATACGGATAAATACATCTATATAAATCTGTATAATGGACACAAACACTTACCTTCGTCCAAATCCCCCCCCCCCCCCATCCTTCAAAATGTTAAAGTGTGTAAATTAGAATCTATTTCAGAAGCAAGTGTAATTTGAAGTATCATTATTTTTTCCCGAACATTACACAAATAAAGAGAAAAAGGCTTGTTCAAAATAAGTGTAATTTAGAATAAGTATATGCACTCATGATGACAAGATTGAAAAGTAGTCTAATTTCATCGATTTCTTTTTTAAATTGGATATAACGGACTTGTTCACAAGCATCCATTGTTGAAAGGGATTCAAGTTTGTTCAAATGAAGAGCCAAGCCTCGTTTAAGGAAAGATACTTAGGAATAAATGAAAATTTTGTAACATGTTTTTAGAATCTTCTCAAGAACCACCGGGCCAGAAAAATTAAACATGTGAAAACTTCTTGACCTAGTGGAGATTAAAGTTTATTAAAATCATGGCCCGCGATGGTAATAGAGCAATAAATGATCAAGGTTTCATATGAATATTTTTTTGATCTGTCTCTGATTTAGAGAATGTTGACTACAAGTTGTTTTCGTGCGTAACATAGATAAAATCAAGCAATGAAATAAATATATATCACGCAGGCATAAGCTCTTAAATTACCGAACTAGAGTACTGCCAAGCAGAGCATCCCTTTGCAGATAATAATTTTTTCTGCAGTGTTGCAACCGTCCTTTAGCGTAAAAACAAAGAAACCGTTTTATTGTTATTTTTTTATTTAAAAAAGAAGCAAAAAGGTATCCAGTTATTTCATGAGTGAACAATAATGAACATGGGTCATATATGTCAACGAAACAGAACATCAATCAGACGAAGTGTGTTTAAGAACTTCCTCAGAATTTTGATGGACAGAAATTAACATGAAGATAATAATAAGATAATAAGTGGTTTTATATTCACTATATCAAACTCGTTTAAATAACATATATAACCTTGCGAATATACATATACACCTTTCGACTTAATGGATAGTGAAAGTATCAATTCAAATATATCCATTCTCTCTGTATAATTCCTTTTGATTAAATACTACATGTATGCATTAGAATCAGAATTTGGATTCTTCTGCAAACTTATCAACAAAATGGATATATTTCACATAAATATGATGATTATTATTTATGTGTATGAATATTAAATGAACAAGTAAGATTTTCTGTTCTTTTCTTGTTCAGTACAGTCTTTCTTATTTTAATTACACATAATTGTGAACAAAAAAAAAATAAGAACATGGATAATATCAAATAAGGGTCAGTTCTGAAATCAGAAAAAGTATATGTTTTTCACAACAGTTTCAGTGATATAACTCATATTAAATCGACGTGATATAACAAAATTTTGTGACCAGCGGCAACAAGTAGTTGGTTCTCCAATATAGATATGCTTCTTGGTTTCTCGTCTATATATAAATCTGCTTTATGAACGCCATTCATGTCAAAAACAACTAGACAGTACCTGTCATAGTCAGATATAAATATATTGTCATATTTATCGAAAGCTATCGATCCTGGATTACAATATCGGGTTTTAAATATAATTCCGTTTTCTTTAATTAAGTAAACTCGCTGGTTTGCTGTGTCAGAGACTGCGAACAATCCATTTGGTAGGCAACAAGCATGCCGCAGAAAACAAGGATGTGAATCTTCAGGCATATTTTTCACAGGTAGTAATTTCACAGCATTTTTGTTTTGAGAATATATTGTTGTTTTTTCTACCCATATCATTTGATTTAAAGATGGAGAGGTTGCACACAGCGATGATATCCCATGACGAGTGTCCCGCAGATTGAAATCTCGACTGATGTCTAACATTACATTGTCAGTTGACAAACAAGAAATGCCATTCTTCCAAACAGAAACAGCTAATGCTTTGGAATTTTTAATTGATTTCAATATTTTACCAGATGACAGTGAGTACATTATGATTTTTTCATTAGCTTTATCCACTGTTACGAACTTGTTGTTGTTAATCCATGCAATACCACTAAAAACGGGTCTCTCAGAATCGGAGTATATTTTCACGTAAATCTCCCTTACTAATGTAACGGAAATGCTTTCCGTTTCCTCGTCATCGTCCGATGCTTGCTCGGATGAAGAACTATCTGAATTGTCACTTGGATCCCCCGATTCACGATACAAATCGCTATCCGTGATTTTATCATTGTATGTCAATTCTAACTCTGGTTCCGTTACATGAATCCCAATCTGCGGCAAACACTCTTCGAGTAAACACTCAGAATTATTTAAAGTACTTTCTTTTTTGAGGCTTTGGAAGCGCTCTTGAATTTTTTCGAATAAAGGAAAAACTTCATAGTCATTTCCATTTTGCATAATTTCATAAAAATGTAAAGATTCTTCAATATTTTTTGCCACTTTAGATAATCTGTTATCTTCTTTTTGAAGGGATTGTATCCTTGGTTCGGCAAATCCTTCTAAATCTTGCAGCATTTTATTTCGTTTTCTATCTATTTTACTTACTGCCTCCGAACATTTCTGCATTATATCTTCACGTAATTTTATTTTCATCGCTGAAACATCGTCTCTTCTAGAATCAATTAACTTTTTGTCTTCCTGCAAAGTGGACAATTTAAATTTTAAATCGTCAGATAGATTTTTTATGATGTTTTCTTTTTCTGTTCTTAAATCAGACATGAGTTTAACTTTATGGTTCTTGTGTTGTAAAAATTTGCAATCACAACAAGCAAAAGCTTCACATGAAATACAGAAATACTCCATAACTCTGTTTGGATGCAGGGTGCACTTTGTTTTACACTGTGCCGATCTTATTTCTTCATAATACTTTCCAGATCTTATTTCCGACAAAGACACTACATGGTGATGCATAGTGAAAGAGTTGAAAGCATGTCTGGATTTTGCACATTCTTTACAAAGGAATTCTAAACACGTTAGACATCTAGAGTTGGCTGGCTTGATTTCTTTAAATTTGACCTTGCAAAATGAACATTCATGGTTTGTTGAATCCGTCAGCGTTTCGAAAAGATCAATCATGTTCTGCAGATACCCGTTGGTTTTTAAATCATTAGGTTGTATCACAAAGGCCTTCCAGCACAGGGGGCAATTAAATATTTTTTTTTCAGAACAATTTAGAATACAAGTCTCACAGAATGAATGCAGGCATGGTAATGTTTTTGGTTCTGTGTAAAACGTCAAACATATGAAACATTTAAGGTGCTCTGCGTTTCTGATTATAGATTGCCCTTCCATGTCATAGATTTTCCTATAAATAGTACAGTACAAAGATCAAACACTAGTCTATTTAATTTTTTTTTTCAGTTTAAGCGAAATATAACTGAATGCATTGTTTAAAATATGAATATTCTTTGAATATTAACCATAAATTATGTTATTATAACCCCAAATACTAAATATGTCAATCAGTAGGTACATCAGTGAATGAACTGGGTAAGTTGCCTGGGTAAATGAATAGAGCCAATGCACTATATATACAATGTATACAATACTAAAAAGTTCGTCTCATTCTAATTAAAAACATACAAAGGAAAGAAAAAATCAGGATGATTTTTCAACAGAAAATCAAGGTTTGCGTTTAGGCGTTTATATGACGTTTAATTATTTGCTATCGTTACTGTTCGTTGAATCCAATGTTTTCCGTTAGTGCCATTTTGTAAGAACTGATTATACCAAAGTAAAGTTGTTCAAATATTATGTAAATTCTGTCAGAGATTCAGAAACACAAACCATAGTTTGTTTTCCAAGGTGACCCAAAGCATCAGCCAGGTTACATTGTGAGAGGAAGTATGTACATATTTTTTTGTTCCTCTCGATGAACTTAGTTTAAGCTTCATCTTAAAAAATAAAACAGGTTAACGCTCAAATATCGTTTACTTACCATATTTTAGGAACCCAGATGTAGAGAAGACGATAATGTTATGACTGCCTAGTTGTTAACCAGTGTACATGCATCAATGGCTATAGCAGTGTATAGATTTCCTGCACTTTAAATACTAGTACTTGTTACATGTATACAGATTATTAGAGACTATAGAGTTCTTGGCTTGGTGACATATTCTGCAACACTTGAAAATTGGGATCTTTTAATAATATTCCACATATGGTTCTTTCTCTCTTGTGATAAAAAGTGACACCCTTAAGCTAATGAATATATGTTTATGTAAAAATGCTTCCCATAAATAGATTAGAAAGTATAAATAGTGGAATTTTTGAATGTCGTTAAAAATGTCAAATAATGGGAATTTTTTGGTCGGGTCAAATCTGATCTTTAAAAAAAAATATTGAAAACTTGGCACTTTCTGAAAAACGGTCATCATTATAGCAAACAAAAATCACGGGTCTTACGATTGAGGCGCTCGTAACATAAAGCTTGCTAAGTTTTTGACTTAAGTAGGACATAAGTATGACTTAAGCACAATCTCAGGGCCTGCTTTAATCCGAACATAGTTACAAATATTGATTTCTATTTTCTATTGCTATATTTTTATTAATTACTTATAATAGTTTACCTTAAACATTTATATTCAGTTCCTTTAAACTGTTAAAATTGAGATAATTATATCTCTTAACAGATAATTCTTTTAATTTTTACAGAAAATCAGATGCAGACTAACCAGACTTTTTACATTCAATTAATCAATTTTTTTTTCACTAGAAATATTTTGAAGAACGATAACTCCTGTAGATGGAAAGATAACTCTTGTAGATGGATGCATTATTTTTTTATTTTACAAGCACAGAAAACAATGTGATATTCTGATTAAAAGAGCAACGCTTCGTTATGTTTTCTAATATGAATTTGATAGATATTATAGTATATATTATTTTCATATATACCTCATTTTTTATAATTTTAGGGTGAGATAAAAAAATATTGATCTTTCTATTTACGATATCAAATTTTCTTCAAATCATGATTAGATATAATATTAATTTGTGAAAAAGTAAGCACCGCTTCAAACTTCAAACTATTTTACATTTGAATCTAATGCTATTGTTGTTAATGAGAATCAAAGTTGGAAATTAAAAAAAAAATCGTGAAATTTGGAGCAGAGGGATATTTCACCTTAAGTATATCTCAAACCGTAACATAAAACGAACTTAGCGAGGTCTTAGCTAAGTCAAACTTATGTTCACCATATTTCTCATGAATAACGCTAGTTTTTCACATTTAAATTATTTACGCATATTGCTAAAAAATGAATCAGTTACATTTTTAATTAAATATATATATTAAAGTTGACGTCCTTACTTATCGATTTTAGTAAGGTTAGATTAGATTTCGTATCAAAGATGTATTATAAATATTTAAAAACAAATATTGCACGTTCACAAGGTGGCAAGGGTTTAATGTGAATGCATGATGTTTGTTTATCACTTGACACTGCGATGTTTTCAGTTACCTTTAATCGTTGTTATTCTTTTGTTTTGACAAATGTTCACTCGCTTTGTCATTCTCGCAAATTGGCATGATAAACGAACGTCTATATCTACTTGAAATTGAAACTCTAATAAACAAAAGTACAAAACAATAGGGACATTTTAAATCCACACCCACCCCCTTCCCCCGCTCTATATGTCAGCGAATGTTAGAAAGAAAACAATGTAAACATTTTATGATATACTTATTTACAATTTAATCAAGGATCGAAAAGAATTGGGTTTTTTTTTTATTGTATGTCTCCAACTTATCAACTGATCGAAACTCCCTCCATCTCTCTCTCTCTCGCTGACGGTAGTGAATGTCTGTCTAAATCCGCGCTTGCTGTGTTCTACATTTAATTTAATTTTTAGACACTCTTTGTTAGCTTTTTAACCATCAACCTCTAATTCACCGATAGTTTTTCTTCATTCAAGGTCAAATTGAGAAAAACAGCTTCAAGCCATAACTAAAGAACCTTTTGACATTAAAAATCTTGGAACATGGAGAGGTTGTATAGAGAAATGGTGCATGCCAACGAATTTTTTTTTACCTTGATTCATTTATAAAGTCAAGGTCAATCTTTTACATGAACTTATAATTCAGGGCATAATCTGAGAAGCCTTTGACGTTATGAATTTAAATTTGGGACATGGATAGAAGACATTGACACCAGATATGATGCATCAATTTTTTTTACCTTGACCCTTTCTTCATTCAATGTCAAATTAAGAAAAAAGACAAACCAGACCATAAATAATGAAACCTTTGACATTAAGACTTTAAACATCATTGCCCCTCCCCCCCCCCCCCCATTTGAAAATTCAGGGTGAAAATAAAAATTCCGAAACGTTATTGCACATCTACAGGTCACCATTAATCATCTTTCCATATCAATTTCTTGTTTACTGCACATTTTATTAATAAATTGAAATTGGTTCTACTATATAACCTTTGAATGCAAGATCACCTGTCGAAGTTAAATCACAATAACATTAATATGCATATCTAGTCTACTGGGTCACATGTGCACTGGCTCAATTACATGTAACTGAGTGAAATGTGGAGATAACGAACAGTAATCAAGCTCAAAAGTCCATTAAGGTATTTTTCTATCTAAATATGAAACGTGTCAGACTCTGTGGTATATTTTATTTCAATTTGACTGGGATATATCGGGTCGAAATATGAATGGAAGTAAATATTGTTAATTGAGAATACATCGTCGATATATCTAAATGTCGAGTTGAATGCCACAGTTAGTGTCTTCTTCTCATGTATAAGTTTTTGATAGCTGCAGGATGTAGCACAACACAGAAACACATGCTGGTTGCTTCTATGTAAGTAAATGATATTAAAAAGGATAAGTTACTTAACTTATCCTTTTTAATATCATTTACTTACATAGAAGCAACCAGCATGTATTTCTGTGTTCTCTAAGTTTCATCCAATCCTACATTCAGGGTTAATAAAAGAAGTTCTAATCGTAACCCCCCCCCCCTTGTTATAGGATAATGTTTATTTAACATTAATATACTGATTTACAGAAAATATTACTTGTAGTCCCCGAGTCGAAAACGAGATTAAGGATAGTCATAATACATAATAAGAATACCGAGCACACACCACCTTTTTAAAACGTAAACACTATTACATAATAATTTAATTCATGTAAAAACTACATCATACAATAAAACTTTGTTCTCAGTTGCAACTAGTAATTTATCATTCAAAATAGATATGCTGATAGGTCTTTCTTCCACATGCAATCTTTCTTTATAATTCCCTTCAATGTCGAAAACGGCAATAGATGAATTTTCAAAATCAGAGATAAATATATTATAGTATTTATCAAAAGATATTGATCCAGGATAACAATATAAGGTTTCGATTAATTCACAACGCATACTTAACAAATAAACACATCGATTAATCATGTCTGAAACAGCATATAATCCGTTCGGAAGACAACAAGCATGACGTAAGAAATATCCATTTGGAGGAAGATCTTTCATAGGTATTTATGTTACAAAATTATTCTTCTGGAAATAAATTACTGCATTTGATGTCCACATCAATTGATTCAAACTTGGCAGGGATGCAAATACAGCGGATATGCCAGAGAGTGTTTTTTGCACAACGAAATCTCGACTAAAGGATGTCATTTGGTTGTTCACCGACAGAAAAGATATGCCATCTTTCCAAACAGAAACAGCTAGTGGTTGGTATCCTACAACAGATTTCAATATTGTGCCAGATGAAAGGGAAACCATTTTGATTTTTGCATTAACTTTATCGACAGCAACAAACTGATTGTCATCTACCCATGCAATCCCACTATATATTGGTTTCAACGTTTTAAACATGTCATCCGTTTCTGTTAAATACAAAATTCTAAGCAAATTGAATTTGTATTTTCTGCGTCCCACTCTTACTTCTATATTTTTGTTTGTGATTTCAAAGTCTTCTTCTGCTGTCTGCACTGCTTTTGAAGAATGAGATACGAAATCAGACAGGTTTGTATTTTCATCGGATTCCTTAGGAATACACTTTCCACAAGTGTCGCTTTTTGAAGACGTTAATGGTGACTGGGATTTGTTTTCTAGTAGTTCTACTTGTGACTCTGTTATTTGAATCGTTAAATTTGGTATGTCTTCCAAAAGACATTTATCTGAACTATCAGCTTTTGCAAGGTTTTGCAACCTTTCGTAAATGTCATCTAATAAATAAACAACTTCGCAATCCCTTCCCTTTTGCATCAATTCAGAAAACTGTAATGATTCTTTAATATTTTTACATTCTTTTGATATCTTTTC